TGTAAGTAGGTATTGGCGTTGAACTGCTTTTCAAATGCAGTAGTGCTTCGTATGCTAAACTGTGAAGCACATGGATACCTTACGCCATGTAAGTAGTGCCATTCGTTTCATGCCTAAATTCACTGCAGCAGTAGTGCTTTTGGAACAGCAGCCTGGATTTTCATCCAGTCAATTAGTGCCTTGCTAATAAGCGAGGTAATATGCATGATTGATGATATTGCTTGAAACGTATGGTTTGCCAAATATTAGGCAAAAGGCAGGACATTTCGTTACAAACCGTTCAAGAATGTTTGTTCTAAACGACATCATCCATCAACAACGTGAGACAGAGCTAAAATACAGTCTGAAAACATCTGACAAGCCTTAACAACGGCTAACAGCACCAATTCCTGTTCTACTTCTTCAACATGCTTGTTAACAGCCAGATCCACCTGCCGCCAGCCCAAACATCGTCTGACAGCCCCATCACTGTTAGAGAATCTGTTAGGCTAACATTCCCTAACAGGCACGCCTGTTAGCCGCTGTTAGACCCCCTATGAGTTGGTAGGGCTTGCCCCGCGCCTGGGTCCTGTCTCCTCTCCCCATCACGCCTACCTCACCTATCTTCCTCTGCCATTCAGGCACTGCCGGAGCCTACCCTGCTCCAGATCCTGGCTGCACACGTCAGCCCCACCAGATGCCAGGAGTATGACAGTGCGGTGTTTCCTGTTCTCCGTCGCTTCTAGGTGTACAGGTATTGCCCCAGGGCCTTCAGCTCGCAAGCTATGATTGTATGGGTAGTTTTACCTGCAGCTAGCCATGTACATGTAATACACACATATGCAAGGTGATTCATAGGTGATTTGATTATAGGTTATGAATTCGCTTATCATGATCATGATGAGTGAATCTGTTGAGTGAATCTGTTAGATTAATCTAAGAGGCCTGTCTCGCATTATTACACCCAGACACATGTCGATGGTTTTCATGAAATTTCATGGTATATTCACTGTTTTGCAATCACTGTGATGTATTACCTATCCGGGAATTATAAGAGCTCCATCCGGCATTAATTACAGAATGTTTTCATGGCTGATGCATTCTTAATTCATACTTATATGACATACTTACATAAAACCGCTTAATCCCAGTGTAAGAATGATTAAGAATGCACACCCGCTGCCTCCGTGTTCTTCAGACGTTCTTATCGTTCTTAAGCATTCTCCTAAGTTTCTTAACCCCCCTCCGCGTTTGTAGGGAAAACGAAACCAAACCAAACAAAACAAAACAAAACCCAAAACAAAACCAAAACAAACCACAAAGCCTCTGGGAGAGGCTAAGTTCGTTTGGTGCCGACAGGATTTGGGTGTTTGCTGAGTTTATTCTGTCGAATGCTGAGATATGTGGACTCACCACGCGAAGTGGGTCGGTCCGAAGTGGATGCAGCATCACCAGGAATTTGCGCCTTAGCCTAGACTTCGGTCGCACAATAAGAACGTGCTCAGCATCGCTCAAAGAGTCTGTATTTTTTCGGGCATTGTATAGGCGAGATATTCGGGAAAATAGGTGAAAGGTATATAGGCCAGTTAGGTGTACACGTATTATACGAGAAATAAAGGCCCAGACCTAAAGAGGGACATATGTACATGTTTGCCTAATAGAGGACCCTGTATATATGTAGAATACCTGACCTTGTTTAGGCTGTGGTGTATACTTGCCAGGTATATGCATGCGTCTACACGTAATGCTGTAAACAACAGTGCCTATACAGGTGCGTGTGTACATGAGCGCCTATTACAAGACCGCTATAGGCATCAAGTAATATGCAATGCCCTTTACATGACAGCCTATACCTGACCTTGTTTAGGCTGTGGTGTATACTTGCCAGGTATATGCATGCGTCTACACGTAATGTTGTAAACAACAGTGCCTATACAGGTGCGTGTGTACATGAGCGCCTATTACAAGACCGCTATAGGCATCAAGTAATATGCAATGCCCTTTACATGACAGCCTATACCTGACCTTGTTTAGGCTGTGGTGTATACTTGCCAGGTATATGCATGCGTCTACACGTAATGTTGTAAACAACAGTGCCTATACAGGTGCGTGTGTACATGAGCGCCTATTACAAGACCGCTATAGGCATCACGTAATATGCATTGCCCTTTACATGACAGCCTATACCTGACCTTGTTTAGGCTGTGGTGTATACTTGCCAGGTATATGCATGCATCTACACGTAATGTTGTAACCAACCGTGCCTATACAAGTGTGTGTGTACACGAGTGCCTATTACAAGACTGCTATAGGCATCACATAATAGGCCTTCATGTTTACATGACAGCCTATACCTGATCTTGTTTAGGCTGTAGTGTATACTTGCCTGGTATATGCATGCGTCTACACGTGATGTTGTAACCAACAGTGCCTATACAAGTGTGTGTGTACACGAGTGCCTAGTAAACATGAAGGCCTATTATGTAATAGGCCTATTAGGCCTATTACAAGACTGCTATAGGCATCACATAATAGGCCTTCATGTTTACATGACAGCCTATACCTGACCTTGTTTAGGCTATGCTGTATACTTGCCAGGATGTTTACATGTGTCATTTGTGCACAGAAATATATGGGATGTATAGAAGCTCAGGGGATTACAATTTTCACATATTCTTCATACGTTACTATCACACATATGTGTGATGCATCACACAAGGAATCTCAGCTCTCAGCCCACAATCCCTCAGTCTGCTGTACTACATGAATAATCCACATGTTATCTGGCCTATTAATGCTGCAACTCCAAAACACAACCAAAACACTTAACAGAATAAATTCTCCGACACTATCAGCACAACACAAACAGTCATTTCCTACTCCCATGAGCCCCAATTGATAAATCCTCCTCTACCCGGTCGTTATTATCTAGGACGTCTTTGCTACGCCTCGTCTGATGAAACTTCATCTGTGTCATCATCTTTTGACCACACGCAACCAGACTCCCATTGCTCCCATTCCTCGATGGCCATAAGCTTGTCCAATAGTGCCCATGCTTCTGATGGGCGCAAGCTTCACTTTTCACTCTCTTGAGACTGCTGCCTGACTTCTTCAGCAATATCCTCCAACACGACTGGCAAAAGGCCATGGGGTGGGCTGCCGATGAGCTCGTTGAGCACAAATTGTGCTGTGGGAACTGCATTGCCCATGGACTCTTCCACATCATCCATGCTTCTGCTGGAGGAACCACGTGTACGTTTGACTTTAACTTGGGAGATCCGAACAATGCACACTCTCTCGATAATGGACTCAAACGGGATACACCCATAAGCTGCTGCTGGTTTTCCAGTCACCCTGGAAGTGGAGGTTGTGTGGACAATCAATGGTTAGTGTTAGTGCAAGAGAGGGAGGTATACAACTGAAATTATGACTGTGTGTAAACTACTTTTATTACCTCTGCCATCGCAGCGGACGGAGATTCAGTTCACGGTTCCATTCATCTTCTGGAGCATCAAACCAGTTAACATACACCACATCTGCTACCTTGTCTTTGTAGAGCACGCTGAGCAGTAGCTGCACCTGCACACAAGGGCCATGCACATATGAGCAAACTCCAGAGAACTGAAGTACATACACACAACGAATGGAAACCAAACCTCCATTTGCCTACCCGTCCGTACCACACACCATAGCCCCCTGGGGTGTCGTTGTTCAGGATTGAAATGTCGCACACTGGGCATGCCTGGGTCTTGAAAAGGGACTTAGCCAGGCCGCCACCACGGATGTAAGTGACGGTGTGAAGTGGGGCGTAGTAAAGACATCCCATACACCTGATGACAACCTACAAGTGTGAAGTTCACATGCATAGCATAGTCAACAACTAGCTAAATTATCACTGCTAAACCTGCTAGTACTGTATCATTAACCTATGTAACCAGCGAGCCTACCTTGGCATGATCCAGATCCTGTGCAGACACCCCCCAGGCAGCCACCAGCTGCTCTGTGAGGCACTGCTGCAGGTACTTTGCACCCTCCATGCCCCAGGCTGCTTCATCTGTTTGCAAAAAAATGCAAGACATGCATACAGTGTGATGCCATTGGGTCAACATTTTGGGAAAATACAAGCTTGCATACACTGACCTTGCAGATTCTTAACCTTTTCCATGGCCTGTATCCAAGGAAGGCTGAGACCTGACCGGCCGATGGCATGTTTCTTGTCCCTGAGTACCTGTGCTCTCTGGTACACAGGTACGTTGATACGTGCAACGTGGGTTAGGCGTGTAGCGGCATATAAAATCTTAGATGGTTACAGCAACATCTGCAGCACATACATAGCTTCAAGCACACATACCAGGCGCGAAGCTTAAAGGCTAGCTTGGATGAATCACAGCTATAGTGGGAGGCTGGGCACGAGCTGCATTGCTGCTCTGAGGATGATGCAGCTGCAGCTACAGCAGGTTGCTCTTGTCTGCATTAGCCCAACTCTGCATGTGCTAGCTCCTCCTGCTTGGACGGAGTCTTATCTGCAGCTGTAACGACGCAAATGCCAATCTGAGCATCCCGGGTTACGCCTTTGCTGTGTTACAATGGTATCGAGACGGGACCGCACGAATTCCGAAATAAACTTCGGGTCGGCGGTTCGATTCTGGCAACCAGCAAGTCGCAAATTGGCGATTTCATGGTGTAATGGATAAACCAGCGCACTGGCGCGAGGTGGGATGGCTCCTGTGCTCGAAATAATGGCCGAGGACGTCCATTGCTAAGTGGGGGGCAATGTAACGACGCAAATGCCAATCTGAGCATCCCGGGTTACGCCTTTGCTGTGTTACAGCAGCTGCCTCTGCTTGCTGCTGCTCAGAAGCACTGCCACCACTGCCACCACCGATGCCACTATGGCTGTCACTGCTATTGCTGCTGTTGTCACGGCTGCTGCCGCTGCTGTGCCTGCTGCTGCTGCCACTGCTGCCATGGCTGCAGCTGTGGCTGCGGCTGCGGCTGCGGCTGTGCCTGTGCCGGTGGCTGCGGCTGCGGCTGCGGCTGTGGCTGCGGCTGTGGCTGCGGCTGCGGCTGCGGCTGTGGCTGCGGCTGCCACTGCCGCTTCCGCTTCCGCTTCCGCTGCTGCTGCTGCTGCTGCTGCCGTTGCCGCTGCCGCTGCAGCTGCTACTCACCAGGCCACCATCCATCGTGGCGCCCAGCTCAGCTGCAGGTCCACCATTCAAAGCCTGCTGCATACGCATCAGCAGGCAAAATCATGTCCATGGCATTGCTGTCATTGATATGGGCTAATGCATGTCACAAACATGACACTGTTGGTCAGTAAGAGTGTCATATATGGTGAGCACAGGCAAAAGTTGCTACTAAGGGACATGATCATGAGGTGCTACATCATATACATGGTCAGGTACTTTTTACAACCCTGCCTCTGGCATAGTCCTTGCATGCTTTTGTGGGGTATTGGTCCTCTGGCAATGCAATGGCCACCCACAGGGCCAGCTTCCCGACATGTATACCGTGAATGAAAATGTTGACTTCCATACCATGAGTCTGCTGCACTGACATTCTGTAGTATCCTGGGTGTATCAAGGGATAATTGTAAACACATCCATCACATGTACTCCTGTATGCCACTATAGCCTACCATGGTCCACACCTGCTTGTTCTCCCTGATGTACTGCAGGTATTCCACTGGGCCCAGGTAGTGACGCCCCATCCTGCAGGCAGCATCACAAATCACGGGGATCAATGCTCACCATGTATGGACAAGGAAAACGAAGTATGCTCAGGCACGACACAGTGACAGTGCAACATCCCTTACACAAGGTTTGACAATGAATACACCTTACCCGCTTATTTACGGCCGCGCTGGCAGCGATTACGAATTGGCGACAGAATCAGAATGTGGTGAAGATGCTCGTCTTCAAGCTTGCCTGCTTCATTGCCTCCCTTCCTTCACATCCACGGGTGAAACTCGTCTTTCAAGGGCATCACGGTCTGGCACCAGTCGATGCGTCCCCAACAAGCATATATGATATGGATTCAAAGATGC